TCGCAGATTTGCCAGAAGCTTCGAAGCCACTTCTAACACTTCCACTCGCTCAGCTTCCACCTGGTTTGGTGGCCGAGTTGAAGGGACCCCAAGAGGTCCATTGAAAGGGCTGCAGAACTGTCTCAATTCCTGGGCACTTTTTTTTTTTTTTTAGAAGGATGTCATAAAGCTTATTAAAGCATTTACGATCGTTAAGTTAGGATCTGACCTTAGGTGTGTTTGTACTTCTCTCATGAGTGCAAGGACATTTCACTAGGGTAGAGACCCCAAACATGCACCAAGCTTCAACAACATCCAACAGCCATCCACATGTGCTACAAAAAACAGCCTTTAAGTCCCTGTTTCACCTGGAATAGCCTAGGCTTTGGATGCCGCTTTCGGATCCGTTCGGAACTCATCCACCTTCACCACCTCGGGTGGTGGTGGAGGATCTGTGTTCTCCGTCTCATCCTCCAGCTCCACCGGTGGTGGATCAGTCTGGGCCTCTTGGTCTCGACCTCAACTGGTCAATGTTTAACGAACACTTAAACTGAACGCACTCACGTGAACTGAACTACTTGTCGGTGAACTGCTTAAAATGGTTTCCTGTGTTCGAGCTACATGAACAAGGTCCAACATGCAGCATGCATCTTATGTTTGTATGATTGGTACTAAGTACAGTGGTTTGATACAGTATAAGTATATCCCTCTTCATTCCCATATATATATATACACACGTGATTACTAGATGTGTGCTTAGAATAGATGTGAATAAATGGAATTGTAATGTACATCATTACTATACACGTGCTTGTTTCTTTCTATGATGCAATCATCCCATCATGGGGTTGGTAAAGATATGTGAACGGAAATGCTGGGAATCATACTCAAGCGTTGCTACACCACGTGAACATACCTGTCAAAGTCTTTTTGAACCTGTTCACTTGCACCTTTCACCTTACTAAATAAACAGTTGACTTAGTCACTCATCGACTCCACACTACTACTATGGCCCTGCAGCTAGAGCTCCAACTCACTTGCTTGGGTGCCTGTTTCTACTGCGCGGAGCTGTCAACATAAGAGAAAGCCTGCGAGAGTAGCTTCTGCAAATAAGGCTTTTACTTGGAGCGGGGGGCCAAAGCGACTCTGGTCGCCAAAGTTGACGTTGGAGCTCCTCGAGGTTTTGCTCTCTCAGGTCAGAGAGGGTAAGTGACCGTGACGTCGCGTGTTGTTTGCAAATGTTTGGCAGTAGCCAGAATGAAATGGCTCTTGGAGGCCATTGCAGAAAAAAGAACATAGAGAACATATAGTGGCTGAAAGTATCTGCTACTTGGCCCTTTGAATATAGCAGGGCGTGCTCTTTGTCAGTGTGTGGATGCAGTGGATGCTGCGCAAGCGCTTTTGGATAGCTTCTCGTACCCAGAGGAATACCTAGGTGCGGATACCAGCATGAACCAGCGATGCGCTTGTTTCCGTGGGCATGTGATGGCGCACAACCTGTCTGGCCGAAATGTGAGTGGTCTTTCCTTACAAGAAATGATCGTGTGATGGTGGTATGTAGTAGTATGCAAATTGTTTAGGCTCAGTGGTAGCAGGCAATGTTGTTTGTACAACTCAGTTTGCACCATGTTTTACCGACGCTGTTGATTTTGGTTGCCCTGTTTGACAGATATCGGCCGGACGATTTCTCAATTGAGGACATACCCGGCGGAGTTGCTGTAGGGCTGGGCTGAAAAGGTTTTGGGGCGCACCTTTGTCACAAAGCCGCCCGTTGTGTTAAACACCCATGACACAGAACATTTTGCAGGGCTTGACTATTGTGTAGCGGGCGCGGTCTGCATGTAATTTCTTTAAAAACAGCTTGTCACAGGCGAACTGCCTTCGGCAATAGCAAAAGGAAAAAGGAGCAACGGTGTCGATTGGAGCAATTGGGAATACATGGCTAAATACTGACCCCTCCACGCACACCCGGGGGGCTAGTTTGAAGCCGCTGTTCTTCACAAAGCAAAAAATTACAGGATTTGACTCACTTACAGTTACGAGCGTTTGTCCCGTTGCGTTTGTTACTCCCTTGTTCTTAGCCGTCCGGGCGCGTCCTTTGAGCGCGTGGAGTGCACCAAGGTGATGGCGCAGGGTAGGCTGGAAAGGTTTGAAGTGTTGACCTCCCTCTTTACAGTAAGATAAGGTTGGTTGGAGGCCATCGCTACTAGGGTGGAGGCCATCGCTAGGAAAATGATTTCTCTTTCAGATTTTTTTCAGGACATCATTGAAACATATTTAGTATGCTGGTTGACACCACAGCTCTTGGGGTTGTTTCTTGACCCACCCTCTGCAACCCTATGGCACGCCAAATAGGCATGCGCGCATTCTGGGTGCCTTGTGGCCTTGTGGGCATATATATATATATATAAAACTCTATATGTTGTGCTCTGCATTGACATGTTCATTTGCAGTATGTTAATTTGTTTTCAGTGGCATATGCTATTTCATTTCCTTGGTTCCATGTTTGATATGTCCCTTCATGGTTGCTTTCACATGAACCCTCAGTCTTCCATATTCCCAGCTGATCTTGATGACCCAAATTACATACTGCAGGAAAAAAGGATCAACCACTCACATTTTGTCTGAGCTGTGTAGTAGCCATGTTCATCCAGTTGCAATTACTTATGCATATGGCGTAATACGCACGGGTCAATGAACTTCAGGTCTTTCGACAAATCTCTGCAATGTCCACCGCTTCTAGGTTCGAGGCCATCGCTATTCTACAACTTAACTCAATTGATATTCTTCCTGATCTCCAAGCGAGGCGCCTTCCACCGCTGCAACCGCTGCAAATCCCTCCGTCTGCACAATGCTTTCGGCACAGGGTTTCTCCATCTCCGCCCGGGCGGTCTCGATCGACGTCTTCTCGGCGAGCAGCTTGTTCTTCACCTCCCAGGTGGGTCTTGACAGCATCGATTTCCATGAGAAAGTCCATGGATGCTGCTTCGATCCCTTTACCACGTTTTGAGATAAAGTTTGTCCAACATGTCGATTGACAGCAGCTAAAAAGGTAGCTTTGTAGTTGTTCAGGTGTATCATTGCAGTACTTCGAGGTTGGAACATGTTGGAACTTTGTGGGGGATAAAACAAGTTGTTTTTGTTTTTCCCAAAAGCATCTCCGATGCTTGGGTTCTTGTTTAGTCGCTAGTGCCGCGGAAGAGCGAGACAAAGCATGCGTTGTCGGGGACGGAAGCTGGATGTGGAGGTGGACGCGGTTGGGAAAAGAGGGAGGCGAAGGAAGGGAGGGGAGCGAGACGGGAGGCGCATGGGGCTGGGGAGGGAAGATGGAGGGGAGCGAGACGGGAGGCGCATGGGTGGCACTTGCGCGGCTGATATGCTAGTTACGAGGACATGGTTGCACCACAGCTGCTCCGGGTCAGTGCACAAGTAGAACAAAGCATGGGTGGGGGTAGTGCTGCTCCATGCTTCGCGGAAGCATGGGAGGTGAGTGGAGCTGTGTTGCGGGGCTTATACGATGGTCTTGGGTGTCCAAAATGTGCACAATGCATGCGGCAGACAATCAAGTCGTGGCTGGACGGGGCTGTGGAAGGAAGATGGATGCTAAGTAGAACGAAGCATGGGGGGGCTAATGCTACTCCATGCCTCGCGGAAGAACGTTATTGCGCGAGTGGAACTGTCTGGCGCGGCCTATATGACGGTCTTGGGTGTCCAGAATGTGTGCAGTGTATGCCGAAGACAGCCCAAGTCATTGCAGAAACGGCGGGATGGTGCATGCCAGAACCGCAATGCTTCAAATTTCATGGTTGGAACGAAGCATGGAGGGAGCTGATGCTACTCCACGCTTCCTGGAAGGATTGTTAGAAGCCATGTCGCAATCGTTTTATGGCCGTTTTGGAGGGCTTTCAAAATTGACCAAGGGGTGGACGGGGGTGTATATGGCAGACTGGGGTGGACGGATGCGCACCAGAACCGCGATGCTTGAAATATCATGGTTGCCACGAAGCCTGGAGGGGGCTCATGCTTCGTTTTGGCCTGCCAATATGTGTGTTTGTTTATTTTCCTGGGTCGCGCGCGTCTTTTTGCTTTTGGGTCCGCGGGCTCACCTTGTTTTCTATGCTCTTGTTGAATCCACTAGATGCATGCACTGCAAGGCGATGCAAGTGATGGTCAGTTCCAAACCCTATAATGCATCGCTAATTATATCACATCCACTTCATTAGGTATTTGACCACCACCACTCAACAGAACAGCGTTTTAGTCCAGCTTCTTTTTCGCCTGAACAAGTTGACGCTTCTGGGCCACAAGCTGCCGCTGGACTTTTTGGCACTACCTGGGCTTGGCATTGGAACACTCAGCTCCAACCTACTAGCGATGGCATCCATCCCAATAGCAATGCCCTCCAACCTCCTAGCGATGGCCTCCAACCTAAGAGCAATGGCCTCCAACCTACTAGCGACGGCCTCCAATGGCCTCCAACCAAATAGCAATCTCCGCCAACCTACCAGCGATGGCCTCCAACCTCCTAGCGATGGCCTCCAACTTAGTGGCAAGGCCTCCAACCTACTAGCGATGGCCTCCAGCCTACTAGCGATGGGCTCCAACCTAATAGCAATGTCCTCCAATCTACTAGCGATGGCCTCCAACCTAATGCGGATGGCCTCCAACCTAATAGCGCCATTTGTTCATGCTCTGAAACCAGGGTTGTCATCTGGACGACCCATGCTTGCCACAATCAGTCAGAGGTGCACTTACTTTTCACTGCCGAGGAACTACTCGCAGGACGAAAGACCTCTACCATGCCAACCAGTCCTCTTGATCAATTTGGCAAGGGTTGAGTTAAACAGTAAGAACAAAGCCCTTCGGCTCTGTCACACAGTTCATGTTTTCCGGATGGTCCGGATATGTCCGGATACATGCCACGCTCCAAAAACGCGGCATATTACCCGTCACTTGTGCTTGTCCTAGGATATCCTAGGCTGCAGCCATTGAAACATCAAGCTGGGGCTTGCGGGCGGGCCTTAAACCTGGCCTGCCTGCTCCGTCAGCGCCGTTTGAGCAACCTCACTCTTCTTGGGTTTGCCGCTGAAGGAGGCTGAGCTCACACGCGTTCCAAAAGAGAAGTCCTTTCCTTCGGGAAGCACTTCAGCAGCCATCATGGTCATGAACTTGGTCACGCGCTTGGTGTCAAAGACTGCCAAGGTGTCGAAGGCCTTTTCGATATCTTTCTCATCCATCTGAGCCAAAAGTTCGGCCATGTCCTTGAGCTTCTCAGCCACCTTGTCCGGATCATGGCTCCTCAACACCCCGACCCACTTGCCCTACCCCACTTTAAACACGGTGCACTACCAAATCCACACATTTCATCTAACAAGTCTGTTCAAAATCAACGCCCACTGGGTAGTCCCGTGGCAAGACTTGGTACTCGAGAAGTCTGGCCATGACTTTGTCAAGAGCAGGAGTGAGAGACCTCTTTTTAGCTTTTGACAGTAACTTTGGGGAGGAGTGTTGATTTTGATTGATTTTGTAAAGGGTAGGTCTTCGCAACAGTACTGGCTTTTGCACTTATGTAATATTATTGCCAAGTGTTGCTTTCCTTTGGATTGCACAGTCAAGAAACCTACATGAGTGACCATAAATGTGGACAAGTGGTGCTTAAAGTGGTCTACGGTTGCGGAACCTTCTCGAATCTGCTGGATACCTTTGACATCCTTTGACAAAAGAAATTATGGATGACGGTGGAGATGAATGGACTCTGCAAGAGTAAAATAGAACAAATAGATGAGATACGTTGAAATAAAAGACCATGGCAGAATCAAGAAGGACTTGATTCATATTTTGAAAAACAAAAAACATTATATAAACGCATGCGAAACAAAGCCAAGGCCAGGGCTCCTTTTTGGGCCGGCAAAAGGCTGGATTTTGACCCGAACACTCTACAAAATCTCTACAAGGTCCGCTGCCCTGACAAACGAACTCATGTGCCACATTCCGAAACCATTTATGGACCTACAATTTCATGACCTTGATAGTTCTTTCAGTAGCATCTCATCATTCAGAAGTTTTATGGAGTTTGAAGCAAGCTGGGACGTTTTAAGTTCTTTTTGTGGACGCTCAAACGCTCCAGGTTGTAAGGGCCTAGTAAGGGACAAAAGGAGACTTGTTAATCAACGTCTTGAGTGACGGGGAAACTTTTGTATTACATGTCTGGTATAGCGAGGGTGAGTGGTTTGCACTATTTTGAACTGCGGGTTCTCAGTGGCCGCCAGCGGAATCTGTATTATATGTTGCTGATGAGCGGGAGGAAGGACTTTAGTTGACACGTCTGAAGATCAGTGATTTTGGAGTCAACCTCAGCAGTTTTAGATTTTTCAGGGAAAACTAATTAGACATGTTTTAGTGCAGTGTTTTTTTATTACAGAAGTGTTCCATGATCATCCAAACAATTCCGAACATTCAGAATCAAGTTTACAAATGTAATCAAATTTATGGCCCAGTCATTGAGTGTAAACACCCAGCGCAACACTATATTCATATATATATATATACCCACATAGTCCAAACAACACCTTCAAAAGAGTTGGATCCTGCTTTGCAAAGTCAACATGTTCATACATTGTCGAAAGGTTTTTTCTGTTAGTTGTCCCACACCAAACATTCCCCGTACTTTCCCATACATAGATTTCCAAACACCCGTACAAACCACAAGGGTTCATGCCTTGCTCCTGGTGAGGTTGAAGACAGCATACTCCTTGGTGCCACCCATCGCTGCCCGATGCACCAAGGCCGCCAAGGACATGAGGACCATGACTCCAATCTAGCTAAATATGATCACCATGAGGACCATGCTGAAACCATCGGTGAAGTCACTGGTCACTCCTTTGGAAATCGGTTCCAGGTACAAGGCAGAGCCGGCCACGAGGATGAGAATGCAGTAGGACATCCAGCAGTCCAAGGCATTGAGCAATGGCACCTTCCAAGGCCATGCCAGGGTCTGGACCGCCAGAAAGCTTGCAAGAATGACGGTGACCCAAATGGTCTGGATCGGAGGATAGTCTGTTGCAAGCACAATGGGCAAGGAGATCAAAGGTCCTGCAGTCAAAAGTTGCACTCCGAGCCACCAGAAACCGAAAATGTCGAACAAACCAAAAAAGAACACAGCATGTACAACAGAAACATCAACGTGTCGAAAAATAACATACTTACTTATTATATACTTCAAGCGGTTCCCACCCTGAAGGATGATTTGGAAGAAGGCAGGCGATCATTGCAAGGAGCTTGTCAACTTTTCAACCACACGGGGGATGCCGCCTTCTGTGTGCGAATTACCTCGATAGTTTGCTAAAGCTTGACCACGCACGAAACTCTTCTTCGTGGCTTCTACTCGCCTCTAAAGGCACCTCGGCATTTGGTTCATAGAGATCGTCAGGAGGCAATCTCTTCGATATATCCAGCTTCGGGATGTTGGTGACAAGAGACTTTCGATCCTTTTAATACCCAAATTATCCTCGCCGTCCATGCTACATCGATGCAACATATCTTGTATTGAAATCATTGACTTTCCATGACTCTTTGGTTTGCTGCTACTTTCCGCCCAAATGCAGCCATTGACTCAGGATAAACTTATGAGCTATGTTTCTTCGTGAGAGACAAGTCTTGAAGCTTTTAAAGTGCACTTGGCATTGTCACGCTGACGCGCCATACATATCTGCCAGTGCCTGTGCAAAGCACCGCATGCTGAAGTTTCCTGCTCACCACTCCGTCACTGCTCCAGACCCGATGCTTGGTTGTGACACTATGCGGTTGCGCAATGCAAATTGGCGTGCCTCTGGAGTCTAACTGTCATATCTTCTGACATCCCTTCCGGCACTCTATCTGGCATATCTTCTCGCAAACATTCTGACATCCTTTCTGGCAACTCTTCTGACATTCTAACCGGCATATCTGTGGCATCCTTTCTTGCATGCTAGCTGCATATTTCTGGCGTATCTTCTGACATCCTTTCTGGCATATCGATGTCGTGCAGCCTGACCTGGCTCTATGGTGTGCAAAGGAGGAAGGAGTACCCACATGTACCCACCTTGGTTAAAATCTACAAAGATCCTTACCTGGCAGGCGGAGAACTTACAGAGAAGACATGTCATTAGACAAACATATAGGTCCTCGTGTCAGAAGTGGCACTCCGAACCACCAGGAATCCAAGCGAAATCGGAAGACCAAGAAGCGGAAGGCACGAACACGGGCGTGCTGCTCCCTTGCACTCCAGTGCGGCACTTGGACTGCCGCGTAGGTGCACAAGGTGAGGAAACCGAGGACACCCACCACCAAGAGTGTCACGCCACCTGCAAGCATGACCACGTGCTCACTCTCGCCGCAGATCACATTGGGATACTTCAGGATGCTCTGCAGCCCATTTGGGTGGGTATAGCACATCAAAGGCGCAAGCGCGATCGTTGACATGGTGGAGAATGTCACCTGTAAGAACTGGCCCACGCAGCTGAGAACCTTGGTCCAGTCCCAGCTGCGCTTGGGGATGAGCTGAGACACCAGGTAATTGGAGAACATCCAGAAAACCACTGTGGGGAAGAACATCACGCTGAACACGTAGCGGAAGGAGGTCTCAGCTCCTGCGAAGCAGGCGAAGCCGAAGCTGTCCAAGTCCAACAAGAGAAGCTGGAAGTAGGAAAAGAAGCCTTTGAGATCCACGGGCCATTCCACCGTCATCATTCCGATGATACCGACACTCTGAAGCAAAGAGACGAGCATTCCAAAGGCGCAGGTGGTGGTAAAGAGAACAGACGCCTTTGCCGTCACCTTGGAGGTCATCAGGTAGTAGGAGACGGTCATGAACAGGAAGATGCCCACCACACTGAACCCCCAAAGAACTTGTCTCCAGCTTTCACACATTTTGCACGATCCCTCCGTCCATGTCCTTCCTGCCGGACACTCTGCGCAGGGGATACCCTCGCGACCACCGGCACAGGTTTGCGGCAAGCCACCAGGACAATGGAAGATTTTCCCACATTTGTAGACCTCCAAGGGGTCCTCTTGCTTCACGTAGTAGCCTTCGACCACAGCTGGTTGGTACTCAGCACCCAAGGGATGAGTGCCAGACATGAAGCTGGGCAGGGTTCCCATCACTGGGCAATGCAAGCCTTCTTGGCAAGTGGAGCAAATCAAAGTACCCGGAGTTGTGGAGATGTCGATGCTTCCCTCATCACAGCCACAGTCCGTGAAGTAGGAAGACCCCAAGCCAAGTGTTCGACTTCCAGTAGGGCACTGCTTGCATTGAGCACCGCCCTCTTCGTCTTGATATTGAGCCACGGGGCAACGCTTGCAAGCTTGCTTGCCAGTTTCGTCTTGGTAGGAACCCTTGTCACAAGGATCACACATCAAAGAAGCTCCGGAGGCTTGGCTGGTGCCGGGAGGGCATGCCACACAAATGTAGGTCACACCCGCCAAATCGACCAATTGACTGGAAAAGGTCCCGCTTGGACAAGCCTGGCACCGTTTGTTTTCACGAACGGTGCGATCTGTTGCAAAGTCATTGGTGGCATCGTCGAAGAGACCAAAGCCAGCAAAGCAAGTGGTATCGTCTGGCAACCAGCTTTGCCAAATGTCTTCATTTGCCCTGAGCCAGCGGCATGTAACGTTCTCCCAAGAGTCTTGGGTCTGCTTCTGGTCAAGGAGCATGGCGTTCATCATGCTAAGATCAATCTGCAGATTGTCCAAGAATTTCTCCACCCGCGGGGCCAAGGAAAACAAATCTTTGCTCACTCCTTTTGACACAGTCGTTGCCGCATCACCGGATCGGTAGTTTCCAGCCGCCCGTGCGGTTCGGTCATAGGGTGGGAAGATCATCTCGAGTGGGGACAAATCCAAGAAAGTCGGGTCCGGCACCCACCAGTAAAAGGTGGACTTGACCATCAAGGGCAGTTGCGAGAAGGAGCCCCATGACTTTGCAACTGCGATTGCTAGTGGAATGTTCCAGAAGGCTGTCTTCTGCATGATGTCGTTGATGCTCCAACCATTGCCGCCGGTAAAGTATGGGATGCACAAAAGGGGGTTGCTTCGACACTTGAGGCCAAGCCAGAAGTACTCGTCTGGACAGAGCCCAGTGATGGAGTCACCCGAAATCACCACCCCACCACTGTCCCCTGTCTGTGTATAGTAGCCCCGCATATGGGAATCGATTGCAAAGTTCGTCTCATTGCAGCGCCAAAGCATGGACTTATCAATGACTGAGATGTTGTCAAAGTACTTCCACGGCTGCTTCCAGTCAGCATCCTTGGATTGGTTCAAGAACTTCGAGCTATCCTTTGGATTCCCTAAGTTGACAAAAGGAAAACAAACTAAACACCGTCACCTCAAGCAACACCTGGCGTCGAAAGAAGTGTAGTATTCCAAAGGAAGGCCCTCTGCTTGAGCTGCTTCATTTTGACGATCTTTGCCCAAGTAAATCGAGGTTTTTCCATCATAGCCCATCGAGCTGAGCAATTTCGGGGCCTTGGACTTGTAATCCTTCTGAATGCTGTTCCACAGTTGTGTATACCCTTCCCACAGCTCCATGTTCACATGGTTGTAGGTGACCTCTGCATCACACCCGCGGTCGTCCACGTTGGCGGGGTTGCTACACCCTGCGATCGCATAGTAACCCTCCGGAGTGGCGGGCCCCGGACCATTGTAGCTCACGTGGATGCCAAGCATCTCCTCGATGATGATGCCGGCGAGGTAGTTGGCGACCCAACCCGCACCCCAATTGTTCACCCACATTCCCAAAGGATAGGTCTCACCATTGGGATTGACGAGGTTCTTGCGATCGGCGGGTTCTGTGCCATTAACAAGGCAAACTGCTGCCACTTGGAGAGGCAACAAAAGGCTGATGACAAAGCTCCGCATGCTGTCAAGAAAAAGAAACACTGGTGAACGCTGTCAGCGATCTCAGCGATTCAAGTCTTGAGCCACTGGAATGAACTAGTGCGTGTGTGTGTGTGTGTCCGATCAGAGCAGCTTGTCCAAATAAAACCAACAAATAGTTCAGCGACAAATGTCTCATTGACATCCACCAAGGCACTTCTCATAGCCCAAGCCTTGAGCTTACAAACAATCTCGACCACTGACCCATCGTGACCCGCTGATAGTGCCGCTAAGCTTCTCATTGAAGTCTGTCCTCTCTTTCTGCAGATCTTCTTGCAGCAATGAGATCTCTTGTTTCGAGGCCTCCATCTGCGATCTACTCGCACGACGTCTGCAAAGCTGAGTCTCACACCGGATCTCTGGAATCAAAGGAAACTCTTGTAGGATCCTAGATAATCCCTCTCAGTTATTTCTTGCAGAACTGCCTAGTGTGTACACTGCCAATTCATATAATATATATATATATAATACATGTTGTATGTCTCGCTCTATGCCTTCCCATGCAGCGAGGCCGCCTTCAATTCAGCCTTTTGCTTCTCCAGATCCGTTTCCAACGACCCCATCTTTGCCTTTTGAGCCTCAGTCAATGCCATCAGGCTTTTAAAACGAGCCCGATCTGGTTTGGTTGACCTTTGCCGAGCTGGAGCCAGGTTGGAGCCATACTTTCGGGGGTGCAAGAAGGAGTCCAGTCCAGGGAGTTTGAGTTCTGAACTTGAACATATGTTCATATATGTTCATTTAAACAAAGCATCTCCTTCCATTCACCTGTGGTATGGTTTCTTGATGCATCTTGCACCAGCAACGGAAAGGTTGATGATTTTTTGTGAATATCTCTGACTCTTAGCTTGAAGGTGCTTGTTGGGGTAAGAACCAACTTCTGACCTTCCCGCG